ACACATTATTATATTACGCATGTTTTAACAAGTTTTCAATATTTCTTCGAGCAAACCAATAGTCTAACTTTCAATGTACCCATATATTGATGATACCTAACATGATATTTTTTTATAATTTTTATTCTATGAGACTAAATCGATAAGATGATATTATTTCTATATGGACTTTTGCATTTTTCCAGAAAATTAAAAATACTTTATAAAATATTAAACCTTTCTTTAGTAATAATATCTTTGGTATAAATATAAATTGTATGGTATTTAGAATTTAATAGCGTATTGTAAATATAGCTATTATTATACATATGTGTCCACGTTTGAAATGTATATCAATAAGAATGTCTTATCCTGAATATTAATACTAGTACTTACCCTAATATGCTTTACATTCCTTTTAAACACTATTGTTTACCTATATAACTAAAATATAATCAGTAAAAATTATTATATTTTTTCGATTGGCAGTTGATGATATGCTGACATACTTAAAACTGATATAGTTATGAGAATAAATAAATTCGATAGCAGTGAACTAAAGAAAATGACGAGGATTGTGAAAGGAGAAAGTAGGTTTATGTCATTTCATAAAATATATATTACATTATTTGGAGACAGAGTTAAAAGTTATATTCTTCTCCATAAATATATAGAGCACAAATACCGAGGAATATATTGTATATTACAATATAAGATGTTCTCATACAAATAGATTGTTTGGTTATCTTATACGCACATACACACATTTATGCTCACATATTATATACAATTTTAGTATATAAATGCATAATGTATCATATTATTATGTTTGATTCAAGAGTTAATAATATTCGGAGATTTGTTAGCAGATTATCAATAAAGAGAAAAACTTTTTTTATTTGGGGTGAATATCAGTGGTATTAAAATAATTTTTGTGGACAAATCTAAATGATGAGTTACAATAATTTATAATAAAAAATATAGCATCCTTTTACACAAAAACTCGATGGATTTAAAAACGTTTTGTATGAATAATGATTCATCTTAAACCTAAACATTTATTAAGTTGTTTGAAAATCATGCATAGTAACGCGCACATACATACATACTCACATTCAACCAACTTATACGCTTTTAAAATGATGTTTAATCGGCTAAGATTGAAGACAAATGTCCAATTCCGTATAATAAATATATTATATTTATAATTGCGATTTATTGTAAACCTCTATTATTATTCGGACGATGTATCGATCGATTTTAATTTAGTTTGATTAGGAAAATAATTAATATGAGGTTTACATATTTTATTCTCCTAAACATTTTCAATAAAATGCGTACATTATTCATTTAAATTTCATTTGTATGAGTATACGGATCAATATGATACGGTCGTTGTGTGTGCATGACGCATTCGGTATAATTACTAGTGTTAGGCTGTGCAGACGGTGCCGTTTAAAAATTATTTAATTACCTGACAAAAAATGATTACTACTATGTTATCGTCACTTCTCGGAAATTAAGTATCAAAATATTGATTTAAATATTAATATTCAAAATGTCAGTATTTACTAGTCAAAAATAACCATAAACCTCTTAAAAATACTTCATACCTGTCACTCCTCTAATCGCTCATCCATATAATATTACATTCGTCAACGATCATCAAAACACTATCCGGTAACGAATCAGAAAATCCATAGCGGGATTTAGTTTGCGTGAAATATTGTCAATGCATATGATATAATAGTAATTTATTATATATAACAGATTAATGATGGATACGTACAGTAATCATATTATGTTGCAAACCGCTACCGTTTAACTATGTTTCGTGCAACCTTATAGTTCTGTAAATAGTTTTTTCAATCAGAAACATACTTTTTTACACGAAAAAGAGAATTGTAGGTACATTATAATAACATCGTTATTTGTTTTTTTATGACACTTCAGTAGTATATACTACATTAGGTGTAGTAATATGTTATCAAGTTAAAAAGAAAATATAAAACATATCGTAATCTAATATTTTTTATAATTGATCTCGCAATTAATACTACAGCGTATAGCCGTGCAAAGCGTTAAAAACCATATAAATAATAACGTTCCAATTTTTATTCAATATTTCGTCTTTATTTTTGAACAAGTGAGCTACATACAAAGTTTTAAGCTTGTGGCGATATACTCAAATTTATTTAGATTTATAGATCTTTATAAGATATATAGATTCATATATATATATATTCTTCATAGATATTTATAAGAAAAAAATGTGTGACATTATTAAATTATATTATGATAAAAAAAAAAAAAAATCATCATATGTGCAAAGTTTACCGTGATCTCCTATTATCATTGGCTTATATTTTCTTAAAGGTCGACCACCAATAAATCGCGATCGACGAGTTAGCGACTCCTGCAATACGATAGTTGCGTAGTTGAATTTTGCTGTAGGAATATAGTCTACTATTATTATTTTACACATAATGTAATATTTTACCAATCGTCGGATCTTGTTTTGCGATCCACGTGCCTCATCCACGGTTACATTTGTGGATTTACACGTGTAACGTTCACACGGCTACGACTTGGTAAAACATAATATACTAGTAAATCGTCCATCTAATGAAAACCGAGTCGATGTAATAAATAAATAATGACAATAGACTCAGAAATAACGGAGCACAGCCAGACGAGGTCCCCTACGCAATTTGGGGTGCAGAAAAAAAATTACGTGTCGTGACGCTTTACGGTCGTTTTGTTGCGTTTAAATTTAGTGCGAACCAAATCGACAAAGTTATATTCTCTCGCCTATTTGTCATGCAATACACTCGTTCGAAGTCTTTTATTTTTTAACTTTTATTTTTTTATTTTTCTTTTTCCACGGTGACGTCTCGTGGACAGCGTAATTTGTTTTATACGTCCTCTCTGCATCATCCACACAGACCGACACATGCACGGTGTATAATATAATAATGTGTAACCACGTATATACATACTTACGGTGTGGACGTAAGGACGGGGGTGATGTGGACCAGAAGCTTGAAGGGGTCGGTCGCCGGTAAATTATACATTCGGGAAAAGTTCGGTGTACCCGGCGAAAACGTACTTAAATTTGAGAACCTTGGGAGAGAAAAAAAATAGTTTACATTATTTCACGTCCTCCAAAGTAGTTTATGATGACTCTCTCGTTTGGGGTTGTTTTAAAACTTCCAACATTTGCTACCACCGCGTTCGCCACTATCGTCACTCTGTTGTATTATACTGTTCCTAAAGATATTATCAATTTCGCCCTATATATTATTCCCATCACAAACAAACGAAATAATTTATTAATGTTTTAAACTCGTACATAACTTAAGAACTGAGTGCGATGCGTGGTAATATGAATTTAGAAAAGTATAATGTATTGATCGGAAATTCTAGGGGCCTAGGTGGCGTTATACATGTTAATTATACCACTCTAAGAATATTTTTCGATCAACGTGTTTATCCAAACTACGAGCGTTCAGTCTTCAATTATATTATTAAAATATAGATAGCGTTTTACAGTTTTTTTTTTTTTACGAATAAAATGAATTCGCATATTATTTTTCAACATTCACATACACTCAAAAATAAACTTTAAAGATGATTTACTGTTAATATTGTACTATAATAAAATACTACTGGTAGTTGCGTATATTATAATTATAATCTTAAACCTCGTTAACAATACACACGGGTCTTACGAATGATATATGATATTTTTTCTTATAACTCATTGGTCATGTACTATATATTTTCATTAAATATTTCTTACGTAACCATACAATAATATTCATGAGATAAACGATTTGTTATCAACCACTATCGCGAAAAAATCACTTCATTGTGCGTTCGTTTACGGTAGAAAAATAATATTTATGATTCACGTTAATTAAAAACCATATCACCAACGTCCAAAATTTCTCCGGTGCTTGAACTACCCATTGTTTTTGAAAGATTTTGACTTCTTAAATCGACAACGGACAAACGATTGTTTCGGCAATCATGCACAAATGTTTCGATGGTTTTTTGCTCTTATTTTATTATACAACATCACGTAATATCGCGAAGATTTCTAGTGAGAGTGGGAAAAAATACGCTCGTGGCTGCCAAAAACCTAAAGTACCGCAGTGGCCTAACCGAGTTTCCATTATATTCACATATCGTTTTATAAGCACGGCGGTGGCGACGGTAGTAGTAGCAGTACATGCTGGTACGTCGTTTTGGCAGGCCGCCAGAAAATCGCGTTCTCCGCCGAGTGAGAAACGTCTTTTGGCGGATAAAAAACAGAAAACGAGCGGCATATAAATACGAAAAGAACTAAAACGGCTGGTGAGGAGTAGATTGGATTAATGAGAGAGTGCAAGATGAACTAGTCAAAAATGTAACTCTTATACACACATATACACTCACCATAATATTTTATTTATAGAAAAAACAGCTTCACCTTTCTCACTTATTAGAAATTAAATTTCCTATAAACAAATTATACTCATAAAAAATTATAAAAAAGACAACTAATTACCAGAGACGTAAGCACAATCATTTCTGTGAATGACGTCAGAATTTTAATAAATAACAGGTGGAATGTCACACAGAATTAAATAGGAAGAACAAAAAAAAAAAAAAAAAAAATTAATAAATACGATCACGATGGACTTGTATGTATACGACCGTTGGATATATCGTCTCCGGGGCAGAGAGCTTATCCACTGAGCTCCCTCCGGACTCCGATTACATTTTTCGTGCGTGGCTTAAGCTTGTTCTGAGTATTAACCGTACGGTATTCTTTTTAAGTTTGTAATTATTATTCAAGCGTCGTTCATATGATTAGGAGATTTTTGTAATATTATGTTTTATGTTTATTTATACTTATATTTTTTTCTTTTTTATTCATGCTTTTTGAACGTCTTTACAGCACGCCGTATAGTTTACAACTACTATAGCAGTACTACTGGGCTTTTCCTAATTAACCAATTTTATTTTTGTTTTAGCTCCAGAAAAGAAATTCGAGGTTTACCAAAAGAGGGTCAATAACGATACTGTACGCGTAACTTGTATGGTCTCTGGCGTTTACCCGGTCCCTAGACTTACACTTTTCAACAATTCGGTTATCGACAAACAGTAAGTAGTTTTAAATTTTAAATATTGAATTTCATACATAGATCGTATTTGATTGAGTGTGTACGTTTTCATGATGTGTTAAAGTATACACCTAAAATGTATCGACAAAATCCACTTGCTTATTATATTCTATGTTTTTATTGAATGATAAATAAAAAAAGTCAGGTACATATATAACAATTCATTGATTATATGAAAGTAATTTAATTTCTATAAAATACATAAATATTATAACTATAACTAGATGTACTGAATCCTTAACCAATATGTACCTATTTGTTTTACAAATTGTACAAACACTTTTATAAATGTTTAATATTTTATACATTCTATAAATTGGTTTTCTTGTGATGTGGAAATATACTAAGCCTATATGAAGCTAAATTCTATAAACAATACGCCATCATAATACTATACTATTGATTTTACCATTTTTAAACACCCAATAACTACTCAATACATAGATTTATTATATTTTACCTTTTTTTTTTTTTTTTTTAATAAGTTATTAGAGAAGAAAATAAACGCGATCATATAGTGTAATATTATAGTTTTAGACTTATTATCAAATTATTGTTGTCAAAATATTACGAAATAAAAAAGCTGTCAACATTTAAAATGTAATAAATCAAATAAAAATAAAATTTTTAATTATTATTATAAAAAAAAATCGATTGCATATTTGTACGTATATTTTGATACTTTCAAGTGCATATTTCCTACAATTTGTATGATATAAATTTCAAACCATATTATTCATCTTAATAACTAATTAATTTTTGGTTAATTAACATCATTGTTAAGTTAAGCAATCAATAAGTAATGTAGATAAATGTAAATATAAGCTAATGACCTTACTAATGAAGCCTTTACTTCTTATAAAATAAAAAAAAACCATTAGTGTTAGGTTAATTAATATGTATTTTTGATATGATGTAATTATATATTAAAAATTTTATGTCAACATGAATGTGTGCAGATATTCTTGATTCAATTTTGAGTATGCCCTTCAGTCAGTCATAAATTTAACAATTTTAATTAGAATAATCGTAAAAAAAAATTAAAATTAATATCAATTTTACTTCGACTAATACAGTTTAATATACATATTATTTTCTAAAAATGTTCTACACAAATGTTTAACAATTTATTTATATACCGTGTGTTTAGTTTTAAAGGCAACAGGAAATATTTCGAAAGCACGACCTTGAATTCGATTAGGTTTTTTTTTTATAGGATACAGGACATATAAATACATATGTATTTGATAAATTCTAATTTTTAACTTTTTTTTATCTGCGCATGGGCAGTAAAATAAAAATTTCTTAAATAGGAATCATCATTGTTGATACCGAATTTGGATTGCTCTATTTTTTTTTTTTTTTTTTTAGCAACTTTGATCTTTACAGTTTTTTGATATGTTCAAAATTGATTTTTTTAAAACAGTCGAAAGTTTTAAATTAGGTAATTCGTATTTATCACATATTTCAACGCTCTACGTATGTTAATCAAGCATTTACAAATATTATTATAACAATTTATTTTTATTAAAACTACAAGTTGTATTTATTATAACATTAAATTTATAAACAAATATCATAAGATAATAATAATAATAATAATAATAATTTATTATTCCATAAGCTGTTCAAAATTATTGTCATTATTTTCAACGCATGCTTCCATTCGTCTAAGTAGTTCTCTTTGTGTAGCTGCTATTATTTGATATTCGGTGAGTTCATTACATGCAATGATTATTTTATTTTTCATAAACTACTGTTTTTAAATGTCCCCATAAAAAATAATTCAACAGTATTATATCAGGTGATCTAGCGAGCCATTGTACTGCACCGTATGTACCCATCCATTTATTGCCAAAAGTTTGGTTAAGGTATTCTCGAACAACAATTGCATTATTATCGGGAACCCTACCTTGTTGAAAAATGTGTAGAAATATGCGATAAATACGAATCACCTAATTTAAAACTTTTGATGGTCAAAAATGGTGATTCCTATTTAAGACATTTTTATTTTACTACGCATGCGCAGATTAAAAAAAAGTTAAAAATTATAATTTATCAAAAACATATGTATTTATATGTCCTGTACCCTGTAAAAAAACCTGAATCGAATTCAAAGTCATGCGTTCGAAATATTTCCTGTTACCTTTAAAATTGAACACACGATATAACGTAATGATAATGTTTGATATTTTTTTAACAGTAATATTAATATTCATTGATTTAAAAAAAAAAAAATCGACTCATAGAAATAACATGATACATCATTGATATTATCTTAAAATAATATTCTTACTAAAACTAAAAACTACTTTTTGGCAAAAATACGGATAAAGTCTTACATAAAATTTATCGTTCGTTTGATTTATAATAATCGAACAATATTCTATAGTCATTAGATTTATTAAGTTATATAAAATCTGTACATTTTTATTTATCTGAACTTTCTTAAGAATTAAATGTTTTTCTTACATTAAAGACTATTTTTTTCTATGTGTCCGACGATGGACTTGCGTAAATAAATTGATAGTGGTAATATCGACACCTACTAAATTATTATCTGAAGGTAAAAACAATGGTACTACAAAGAAGTATATTTGAATGAAATGTGTGGAAAAAGAGTTAAGTGAAATATTGGGTTAATTCAATAGAAATATTTTTAATAAACAGAAAATGAGTTTTACATAAAATCAAATACGCTTTTCGTCTTATTACACTATAAATAATAATTCAAACTTTCAATCAATACGCTGTGAACAGTATGACTTAGGCCAGAGTGAATAATGAAAAATTGGTTTTTACAAGCTGAAAATTTTGCTTATTCAAATATAAATATAAAAAAATGCGTATAGACATATTATCATTACAAAATGTATTGATTTTTAATTAAAATGTATATCCGAACAATGCGATCAAGTTGTGCAGTTAATTTATATACCACATATTTAATTATAAATATTGGACGCATGTATCAAGATTATACGTGTTGCTCTTTTCTCGCATTGACGGTTCACTTGGCGGAAAAGTCGTACGGAGTTATTCGGACGACCCTTCGCTGGTGGACTCGGTTCCGTCACTGCGACGGCGTCCACCGCTTCTCCTTCTCCTTCTCGAGGACCTTCTCCTCTTAGATGACCTTCTCCTCCTACGACTGCCACTCCGACGACCCCTTCTGGCCATCATCATGTTCTCGTTATCAGTGTTAGTTGTCTCTCCTTCGCTTTCTTCTTCATCATCGTTGTTGACCACGCCTCCGCTCTGATGCCGACGACGACGTCTACTGCCTCTTCTGCTACTGCCCCTCCTCGACCTTCTCCTACGCCTGGATATCCTGTCTCCAGCCTGTTGATCTTCGTCGTCTTCATCGTATTCCGTATCATTGCTCTCGCTCTCGTAATCCGTTTCGCCTTCTGTAGTATCGGAACTCGCTGAACGGCTCCTGGTCCGTCTACGACCTGATCGGGACTTCCTGGATGATCGTCTCCTTCTACGACCACCGTTTCTGGACCTACTCCGTCGATACCGACTCATGCGTACTCTACGGCCGCCTCGTCGCAATTCAACCATGACTTCTGTGTTGGCCGCCGTTTCATTCGTCACAACAGCGTTGTTGACATCCTCACTATTTGTACTGATGGCATGTCCTCTTTTCGCCGACTTTTTGTCCGTAGATTTGTCGCATGGTGTTTGATCGTTTTCTTTCATATTGCTTGATACGAGCGATATTTAATAACACAATTATATGAATCAAATTTAAATTTATATCCAATGCAATTCCAATATTTATTCACGCTGTCAGTTGCGTACTATTGTTCAAGTAAATAAATAACATCTAGAGTACTGCAGTGCACTTCGAATGTAACGCAGTCGTTATGTTTATTTTTAGGCCAACATCAGTAACAGTTTTCGAAAACATATAATTTAAAAATTAACTACTAATTTTATAATTTATCACGTAGACACTCTGAGAGGAAGCATCAACGTGTGATTAAAAAATTAGTTCAGAAGATATTTGCAGATTTTTAAGGAGTTATTTTTTAGTTGGTGGGATAATACGATATCGGTTTCAATCTATCGCTGAATAATATTAAGGCTAAATAACGTAAGTACATAAGCGTATATAAAATTTATACTGCATGTATTTATTAGAACAACATTAATTCTGTGAGATGCTAATTTGGCATTGCTTGAAATTCTAAATTAAAAAAAGACCTACTTTTTAAAGTAGTATTACTCAAATTTATTCAACTCTTTTTATTACGTTAAACTAATAAAGTGCAACACTAATATTTACTAGTTTACTATAATCTAATCTAAGTTATATAAATTAATTAAAAAACAATGATTGTTATTATCAACCAACAACTGGATGTGTTGATACAGACAACATATACAATGGGAACATCTTTTAAATGTTTAATTCATTTGTATATATAAAATGTTAAATAAGAATTAATTAGAATAGATTATTTATGGAAAATAAAAACAGAAATTAATTTTAGTTAGTTCTTAACAGTTTCTCTAATTTTAAGAATGGAATTATTTATAAATTAGCAACATCATTTATCATTAAATCTGTGCAATGTGTTCAAAAATAAATGTATATAGCTTTCAAATATTGAAACTAGAATAAGAAAAGTCATAATTTTTCACCATCAGTTACAAAGTTCTGAATTAAATTAAATTTTAATAATTTCATTAAAAGTATTGTTTATTGTATCATTTTGTCGTAAGTTAACCCCAAAGCAATGGTTTTTCGTGTATGAAATTCATGATTCATAACTTTTATCTATTTTTTTTCTTCTCATATAGATAAAAATTAAAACTATTAGAAAATTGTTATGTTTGTTTCATTGAAATTTTTTAATAGTTCTTGTTGTATATTAATGAGATGCATTTAGTAAAAATGTAATGGTTATCCTTTAAAATAGTTCATAGTGAACTTTTAAATATCGTAGTTTCTCTAAAATAATATAATCT